CCAGTATATTTACAATTTTGGATTGGTGTTACTTTCCCAAAACTACTTCAAACAACAGGCCCACGCTATGAAATCAGTTTTCAACCAGCAATAACTACGCCTCGGTCAAACGTAATTGGTTTTGGTACCGCCACTGTGCAAAGATGAGATCAAAATAATGTACCCAAAGTTGGCCCGTTCTCAAATTTGACTGAATTTGACCGACAGTGTGTACTGGGTATTAGCTCTTTTTTGGTTTTTTTTTGTAAAGTGTTTTACGGCGCTCGCAACTGCATAAGGTCATATGAGCGCGCGGGACACACCTAATACTTTAAGTTGGTAGGAAATTTTGAATTTTGCCCGGGTGGCAGCCGAAGCCTACTCTTATTGATTTTTAGACCACCAAGGGATCTTTAACGTGCGCAACTTGCACACGGGCCCTCCGAGATTTTTCGCCCTTGTTCGAGAAGGCTAGGTGTAGATCTTTTCTACCAGAAGATCAGGGGTGTGGCAGATAGACAGCTGTAAGAAGGAGTCAAGGAGTAGCAGTAGAAAGGCTGCAGAAAGAGTCAGGAGCCCAGAGGAAGGGGCAAAGGAGGTGAGGGGTGGGGGCAGAAAGAGGAGACGAAAGCAGACGACAGAATATTGCTAGAGAGCAGGAAAAGAGGTGAAAGGAGACAATTTTAGAGAAGAAAATTTTTCGGCCGCTACCCGGATTCCAACCCGGGACCTTTGAATGAGAGGCCAACACCTTAACCTCTGGGCCACGAGAGCCCCCTTATTAGCCCCCATGGTAGGTCCTGACGAGCAGGGTGGAAACAGCCGACGTCAGAATTGTGCGGTTGTTATACTCAGATGTACACGCCTGATAATCCCCTTGCTGAACTATCTCACTTTTCTTTACTTCGTTTTTTCCCTGCTTTCCTCCAAAAATGTTTTAAATAGTAATATATTATAATATAACCTCTTTGCTTTACTCTTACCACTTAGCCAAAATGTTCTGTTTCTAATCTTGAAGGCAGGATCTTTGGACCCTTTAAAACATGAAACAACACAAAACTACATGTATCTACTAGAGTCAAGTAGAGCAAGTCCCCCCCCCCCCCCCCCCGACCCCGGTCCTCCTCCAACTCTCTTTTAAAAGACCCAAAATAAAACACAACAATCCCAAATGAAAGTAGAACAAACCAAAGCCAACGATAAATAGACTTCATTCCAAAGTTACTGCTTGAATATAATAATACCCTTTTAATAAAGATGTGTTTTCTGGGGCGTAGGTGACGTGCTACTTTTTGTTCGTTTGTTTTCTTCTCTTTTCTTTTCTTTTCTCTTGAGCGGGTTAAAGGGTGGGGGTGGGGGGGGTGTTGGAGGGCGAGGTACTGACTTCTTCCCCAAAATCTCAATGTGTGACTGCTATGTTACATATATTCCCTGTCAGTGATCACAGGTCAGTCAAGGACTGGTTCTCCAGTAAATTGGCGTGTCCCGTCAAAGTGGACATATTCAAAGTGTGTTCATTTCACCGCTCAGTTTTAACATAAGACGACCACTCTTGCTCGTTTTCAAACCCTTGTCTTCAGTCTCTACAGTGGATTATTATTTTGTTGGGATTTTATAAAGATGGGATTCTCTACTGTGCGTTTGCTGTTCGTTTGATTTCTTTCTACAAATGCAGCACGAGTCAGAGGAATTGTAGCCAAGGAATCTAATGGTGTTGTGTAATATATAATTCGTTTAAACATTGATGCTAGTAACTTTTAAAAAATAAATAATGTATTCGTTAATAATAATAAGAAGAAGAAAAAGACGAATAGCATTATTATTATTATTATTATTATTATTATTATTATTATTATTATTATTATTATTATTGTTGCTATTATTATTATTATTATTATTATTATTATTATTATTATTATTATTGCTGCTGCTGCTGCTGCTGCTGCTGCTGCTGCTGCTGCTGCTGCTGCTGCTGCTGCTGCTGCTGCTGCTGTTGCTGCTGCTGCTGCTTCTGTTGTTGTTGCTGTTGTTGTTGGTGGTGGTGGTGATGTTGCTGTTGTTTGCTGCTGC